AGAGTTTTCACTTTCTTTGGTTTCAATGTAGTCTTTAGCCCTTGCATCTACCACATGATTCCAGTTTTTTTTTTTTGATCCTGCTGGCAACTTCTTCCATCTTTTCACAAGCAGGACACAGGCATTGCAAATGTCTCCTGAACGAGTCTCATGCAATCCAAAACAGCTCTGGAAGTCCTTTTCATAGCGTTTACTGTCAGTGAATCGAGAACTGAAGGACTTAGCTCTGCAAATACAGCAGCCCTCTATACTTCGGTACATCTTTGGCTTGTGAAAACCAAACATCTTTTCTTCTGGGCAACAGTCTTCCAAAAGCAGCCGTTCCATGCGCAACAACGTCCCTGAGGTGCGGAGTGCACGCCAGGTCAGTCTCCCTCAAGTGTTCCCTCCTCCTCAACTCCAGGTGACTTTTATTGAAGTGAATTTTCTCTGAGCCAGATGGGCTGGTGACCCAGGTGACCCAGACTCAGGAGAAACTGATGTTTTAATTGGTATGTTATTTAATTCAATAATCATCTACAAATGTACAGACAAGAGAGAATCTTCTGTGAGCATGAACTTCTTGGTTTGAAATTCTACCAAAGTTTAGTTTCATTGCGTGTAAGGGAAACATGTTGGAATTGTTACTTTCACTAAGAAAGCTAAAAAATGATTCTCAATCTTTCTTCTTGTACATCTGGGTCAGCTCTTAGCTACAGGGTGGAGAATAGGGCAAAAAAAAAATCAATTTGCTCACATGATCCATTCTGGAAGGCCTTTCTACCTCTGTCAACACTTGTGTAAAATCCCAATGTTGACAGTTTTTCCTGGCTGAGGCTGAGAAAGGGAGCTTGGTTTGAATAGGGATGGTTTAGATTTCTATTCTTGTGGTATCCTCCCTTTGCAATGCCCCTTATTAATAATCTTTTTTTTTTCTTAAATAAATTGGCGTCTTTTTTCTCTCTGTCCCTTTATGAGAACTCTTTGTTATTCTTTGTTAAGTATCCACCTTAACTGAGGATGGAAAACTTATTTACAATCAGATTTACTCTCTATTATCCAAGAACAGTGACTAAAAGATGGTAATAGGCTCAACACATATTTGTTGAATAAATTTTGAATGAAGCATATAGTTCTTATTTCAATGTTTGCTAGTGAGAGGGCTTAGCAGATGTTGAAGGTATGGCCTTTGGAGTTAGACTCGGTCAAGGCTGGACCTTTCCACTCATTAGTTTCGCAACCTCTCTGGGATGCAAATTTGACATCTGTACATAGTGCCTATGGTATTTGGGACATAGTAACCAGTACTCAGTATATGTATATAATATAATGTGGGGATGAAAGGCAACAATGCACTGAAATACTTAGCACAGGGCAGGCACAGTGTATGTACTAAAAAGTTTAGCTCTGATTATTATTTCCAATGCCTATTAGGCCACCAGAGCTCCCACAAAGAAGTGAATGAATATACCTTCGAAATTTTTTTTGTCTCTACCTCAGCACAGAATTTGGCACATAGTAACCAGCACCTAATATATGTGTATTGAATTAATACATATATGAATGCATTGCATTCAGAGTAACTCAGTAGCTCTATGGCTGAAATCAGTGTACCATTCATGGGTTGCAGATGAGTTAGTTCTGTGCACTCAGTGGATGCTACTGAATAAAGTACATGGAGAAATTCTGGCCCATGGCTACGGAGCAAATCTGAACCATTCAGCAAATGGAACAAGCCAGGCATGAAGGTGAAATTAACTATATTTGATACCACTTCTACTTCTGGAAAAACAACTCTTCTACAGAGGCTGTTTCTTCAAGACATTGGGGTTCAACATCTATATTTAAAGCAGTAATTCATATATTTAAAACTGTATACACACACACACACACACACACACACACACACACACACACACGGGGAATGTATCAATTCAGAAAAGTAATATAATAACATTGCAGTTTAAAAAATAGAACAAAGGGGCTAGGCACTGTGGCTGATGCCTATAATCCCAGCACATTGGGAGGCTGAGGCAGGTGGATCACTTGAGGTCAGGGGTTCAAGACCAGCCTGGCCAACATGATGAAACCTTATCTCTACTAAAAATACAAAAAAATTAGCTGGGCATGGTGGTGGGCATCTGTAATCCCAGCTACTTGGGAGGCTGAGGTGGAAGAATTGCTTGTACCTGGGAGGTAGAGGTTGCAGTGAGCCAAGATCACACCACTGTACTCCAGCTTGGGCAGCACAGCAAGATTCCATATGAAATAAATAAAATATAAATAAAAATGTAAAGCCATTGTAACCTCACAGGTGCACAAAAGCAGATACCAGCAGGGTTTAGCTTGCTGGCCACAGTTTGCAAACCCTTTATATAGAGTAGCAAAAGCTGAAGTGCACTTAAAAATCATCTGATGTCTTATGTATCTGGGTATTAAGATCTCTTATTGTTGCATTGATCCTTTTACCACTGTATCTTTGTTGCTTTGAAATCTATTTCATAAGACCCATAATGAGATTTAGACTCAACGAGACAGAAAATTAATAAGGATATCCAGGACTTCAACTCAGATCTGGAACAAGTAAACTCAATAAATATTTATAGAGTTCTCCATTTTAAATACACAAAATACTGATCGGCCATTATTAATACCCATTTTTAGAATGAAGCAATATTCCTGTTCTCTCTCCCTCTTTTTCTTCCTCTTTCTTCCTCTCCTTCTCTCCTTTTTTACTTTTCAACATCCTAGTTCCAAAAAAAAAAAAAAAAAAAAAATCATCTGATGAATCTCTCTCACTAACCCCCTCCTTACAACTTTGCAAATGAAGGAAAAGGCCCAGATTGGCAATTGGTTTACCCAGAATTACACCTCTGTGGAATAGAACTAGCATCCAGAGGTTCTGTCAGCAAGTCAAGAGCTTTCTTCCTTGCAACTGCTGCCTCCTTTCCTCTCTCCTCTTCTCCCTCCTTCCTTTAAGCTTCCCACATTTCCCCCTCACTTCATTCCACAAAGGAGACATAGTGTTACCCACTAAATGAAAGAAATGTATCTTGATTAGGCCTAAAGCTATGCAAGAACTTGATAGTGTAATAGAAATAGAACAAGAAATGCCTTTATCACAGTAAATCAATTCTCTACAAGAATTTCAAAGTACTTTTTTTTTTTTTGAGACCGAGTTTCACTCTTGTCGCCCAGGCTAGACTGCACTGGTGCCATCTCGGCTCACTGCAATCTCTGCCACCATGCCTGGCTAATTTTTGTATACCTGTAGAGATGTGGTTCACCATGTTGGCCAGGCTGGTCTTGGTAACATGTGCCACTAAGCCTGGCTAATTTTTGTTTGTTTGTTTGTTTTGTTTTGAGACAGAGTTTTGCTCGTGTTGCCTAGTCTGGAGTGCAATGGTGCGATCTGGGCTCACAGCAACCTCCGCTTCTCAGGTTCAAGCAATTCTCCTACTTCAGCCTCCTGTGTAGCTGGGACTACAGGCATACACTACTCCGGCTAATGTTTTTTATTTTTAATAGAGATGGGGTTTCTCCATGTTGGTAAGGTTGGTCTCAAACTCCTGACCCCAGGCGATCCACCCACCTCGGCCTCCCAAAGTGCTGGGATTACAGGCGTGAGCCACCGTGTTTGGACACGCTCAGCTATGCCTGGCTAATTTTTGTATCTTTAGTGGAGACTGGGTTTCACCATGTTGCCGAGGCTGGTCTTGAACTCCCGACCGCAGGTGATCCATCCACCTCGGCCTCCCAAAGTGCTGAGATTGCAAGCCACCGTGCTGGCCAAGTTTAAATTTTTCTATACTTTTAATATATTATTGTAATACAGCCACAATCATTTCATTTACATATCGTCTATGGTTAATTTCATGCCAAGACATGAAATGTTGAGTAGTTGCCATATATAACACAAGGCTTACAAAACAAAAAATATTTAGTATCTAATCCTTTGCAGAAGTTTGCCTATACCTGTTCTATGTATATATAGCATATCTGTTTATTTGAGGTTGGTCCATCTGTTTTATATGAGGTGTGTGCTCATTAGGTATTTTTCAAAATGTTGTTACTGCAATGCATAACCCCATAAACTGTTCATCTTCTTAAGAGGAGAAGCTGTGTTTTGCTTACCATTGGACTCCTAGTGCCTTACTCAGTGCTGGCAATTGCAGGGACTCAGGATATGTTATGGGGTAAAGATTCCAACACCAGTGCCGTATCAGTGATTTCCAAACTCCAGCAGGAATTTTTCACCTACTAGAAAGTAAGTTTACTATTTAGGTAATACCTAATTTTTCTTTAAAATGAGTTTTTATCCTTTTTTGCTAAAAATCTCCCTGTCTGCCCCCCAAGGACTTAATTTTAGATATGCAATAAAAAGATAATTAAAAACAAACTATTGGAGTCGTTTTTCTTCCCTAAATAAAGCAGCGTTTATTAATAATACTAGCAAAATTGAGATGGCCTCAGCCTTTTACATCCGTGCGCCACGTTTTAAAAATGACGATTACTGGATTCCAAGGCATGGTTGCCAGAAACATTCTGTGTAATTAAAGCAGAGCAGCGAAAAATACAAACGTGAATGCCGATCAAAATGAGTGTGTAAAGAAAAAAAGTAAAATTTTGCATTCTGTCGAACGTGAACATATTGCACGTTGTGTTGCAGATTTACTACAGCTGAGTCATTTCGGGACACGAGTGTGTGTTTCCAGGAAAAACGAGAGGAAGGAACCAGGCTGAGGGGCTCGCCGGGTTCCCCTAGGCACTCCCAGCAGCAGACACCGGTATTCCGCGGCGGGCGGTGGCGTGGTCAAAAAAAGGCGCCGCTGTCCCTTTAAGAGGCAAAGCACCTTTCCAAGATACCATCTTGCACCAGGAGTTCACTTAAGCTCTCCACCTACCTTGCCATATCTCTCCTCCCTGACTGGGTACGGCCCGCCGGCGGGGCGAGCGAGCCTTTTCATTGGTCTTACCTCAGAGCCCTCTCTCTCTTATTGGTTATCAGGCCTGCCACTCGACACTGTTTCCCGCCCACCTCGGCCTTCGGGCTAGGTTGAGCGAGGGCTCTTGGGTTAGTTCCTGTTAGGCCCGGGCCGGGGGAGTAGGTTGAAGTATCCTAAGATGCCGGGTGGGCTGAGGCACCGGGAGCTGTGAGGGGAACGTGAGGAGTCGGCGTAGTGGAGACCCACGGCAGGCCTGAAGAAGAGCGGCGGCCGAGCCCGCCTTCCTTGCACCATGCTCATAGAGGATGTGGATGCCCTCAAGTCCTGGCTGGCCAAGTTACTGGAGCCGATGTGAGTGAGTCGGGCTGGGCCGGGGACGGCGAACGTGGGCGTTGGGGACCCGCGGGGGCGTGGGGGAGGGGAGGCGGCGTGAGGGGCGGCGCTGAGGGGCTGCGGCCGTGAGGTCCCGGCGACGTCCCTGTAGTACTATTACCATTGTGGTGGGGGTGGGGTGGGGGTGGGGGTGGGGTGGGGGTGGGAGTGGGAGAGGAGCGCCGGGGACTAAGAGGCCCTGAGGATGTGGAACTGGGGTGGGGGGCAGGCAAGGGCAGCGAGGGCTTTTCAAACACAAATATCGGGGTGCTGGAAGAGGCAGCAGGGGCAGTGAGGGAATTTAAAACATTACTGTTTGAGAACTGAGAGGGGAAGCAGGGCTCCTGAGGGATTCTTAAAATGTGAATATTGGGATGTCGAAGGGAATCGCAGAATATCAAGGGCTTGATAAACAGTATTATTCCGGGACTGAAAGGTCTAGAAGCAGAGTATCGAGGACATTTTCGAAATATGAGGGCAGAAACGGATAGCAGGGACATTGAAGCTTCATAGTGGTTATTGGTGAGTGCCAAAGGATCAAGAATATTGAAACATTTGGAAAATACTATGGAGTAGATGAAAAGGATGTGTGGGTATTGAAGGGTTTTAGGTATTATTAGGGAGGTGATACGTGTGATAGCAAGGATATTAAGGGATTTTAAAGTATTACTGAAGACTTGATAAGTGCTAGGGGAACTGATGATTTTTAGATACATGGAGGTTGGAAGAAAGGTTTTCGTGAGTTTGGTTGAGGGTTGAAAGGCTATGCAGCATTATTGGTGGAGGAGTATACCTGCAGCATATAGGAATTTTTAGGTACAGGTATTGGTGAATCAAAGGAGCAGTAGAAAGAATAAGAGATTTGTAAATATTCTTGTAAGATTGAGAGGACACCTGAAGGTAATTGGAGTGTAGGATTATTGATGAGGGGCTGAAAAGAATGAGAGACCTACCTCTTTTAAAAATATTTTGGACAGTGTTAGGAGAAATGTTATTGGGAAGCTTGAAAGAGTTAACAGAGGTATTAACATTTTGTTTGTTTTATAACCTTTTTTTTTTGGAAACAGTGTCTTGATCGCGCAGGCTGGAGTGCAGTGGCTCTATCTCAGCGCTCTGCAACCTCTGCCTCAGGGTTCAAGCGATTCTCCTGGCTCAGTCTCCAGAGTAGCTGGGACTACAGGCGCCGGGTACCACGCCCAGCTAATTTTTTGTGTTTTTAGTAGAGATGGGGTTTCATCATGTTGGCCAGGCTAGTCTCGAACTCCTGACCTCCGGTAATCTGCCCCTGCTTGGCCTCCCACAGTGCTGAGATTACAGGCATGAGCCCCTGGACCTGGCCATGTTTTATAACCATTTTAAGGGGTGGGATTGTGGAGTGTTTATCTGGGGAGTGGGGTATAGCTAGTTTCTGGAATAGATCTCCTAGAGGGAAGAGAGGAAGGAAAGGCTGTAGGGTTATAAAGAGAGGTTTTTAGAAAGAGGGCATGGGAGGGGATTGGAAGAGAAACGATCATGTTCAGACTCCTTCTTACTTCTGGTTCTTAATTATCCTCTTATTGGAGCTTAGGGCTTGAAAGAAAGGGGTAGAAGAAGAGATGGGCAAACTTTGATTACATTAGGTCAGATTTCATTAATGGAAAAATTGAGTGTTTTTCAATGGTGAAAATAGGGAGTAGTTTGGGAGGTGTGGAGGTATGATAAAGGAGCTCATGGGGACAGTGTCAAGCTACTTCCCTGTTGATCTGTTTAAGGGAAAATGACTTCTGAACACACTTGAAGGTTTTGTAGAAGAATACAGGTCTCTTGAATGAGTTTTTTTTCCCCTACAGTAAAAGGTTTTGAGGGCCGGGCACGGTGGCTCACTTCTGTAATCCCAGCACTTAGGGAGGCTGAGGTGGGCAGATCACGAGGTCAGCAGTTCAAGACCAGCCTGGCCGTCTCTATTAAAAATACGAAAAAATTATCCGGCTACGATAGTGTGTGCCTGTGATCCCAGCTACTCAGGAGGCTGAGGCAGGAGAATCACTTGAACCCAGCAGATGGAGGTTGCAGTGAGCGGAGGTTGCACCACTGCACTCCAGTGGGAGACTGGGTGACAGTGCGAGATTCTCAAAAAGAAAAAAATTTGGGGGGGCACAAAGATGGAAATGGTTTGTGGTGAAGGTGGGAAATAAGATGGATGTAACGAAATGGACCATATATGGGAAAAGGTTGAAAAAAGGAAAAGGTCTGTGTGTTTAAAGTGTTCTTATGTTATTTAAGATTAAAAAAGAAAGAAATACAAATTTTTATTTTGTATTCTTGCTGCTCCTGATGCCTTTAAAAAAAAAAAGCAACTACTTTCAAGTTTACTTTTGTTGGTAGATATCCTTCTAAGAAGTGTTAAACATACATTTTATTTCTTGGATAGAAGGTAACAACTTTTAGCTGGGTGCACTGGCTCACCCTGTAATCCCAGCACTGTGGGATGCTGAGACAGGTGGATCATCTGAGGTCAGGAGTTCGAGACCAGCCTGACCAACATGGTGAAACCCTGTCTTAAAAAAAAAAAATAGAAGGTAACAACTTTTAGCCTTATAGTTACTTGCTTTTTTTTCTTTCTTTTTTTAAGCTTCCTAAAATGTTTTACTCAGAGTAGTGCTTTTTGTTGTTGTTGAAAATTAGTCTGGGTAGGAGCTTCATCTTGCTTAGGCTTTTTTCTTTTTAAGTTATTAAGATCATTCGGTAATTTTCATGAGTAAAAATTATCTTTCAAAATGATTACTTGAGTTTAGTTTCTCCTTTTGAGTTATGTGTTCAACTTAAAGCACACATGCTTATTTTTAAAAAAAATTTGTTACTTATTTAGGGTTAAAAAAAAAGGCTAAAATATTTATTTATTTATTTGTTTTGAGATGGAGTTTCACTCTTGTTGCCCAGGCTGGAGAGTAGTGGTGAGATCTTGGCTCACTGTGATCTCCACCTCCTGGGTTCAAGTGGTTTTCCTGCCTCAGCCTCCCAAGTAGCTGGGATTATAGGCACCTGTCATCATGCCTGGCTCAGTTTTTGTATTTTTAGTAGAGACGGGATTTCACTATGTTGGCCAGGCTTGTCTTGAGCTCCTGTCCTCAGGCGATCCACCTGCCTCAGCCTCCCAAAGTGCTGGGATTACAGGTGTGAGCCACTGTGCCCAGCATAAAATACTTATTTTTAACTCGTATAAGTAATGGTTTTGAATGGAGATATTAATAATAAATAATAAATGCAGCTACCACATATATTTTTATTCTTAGTATGTCATCATGGGAGATTATTTTTTGATTGTTTAGATATCTTAAAGTATAATAAATGATATGCTAAAGTGGGTTGTGTTTGTAAATTTACTTTTTTGCATATTCCAGATTCAAGAAAATTTTCATGGCAGATTGGCATGTTGCTACAACACAGCATTTCAGAGCAGTTGTTAGTCTTTGAGATAATGTAGTTGCACTGGCTAGGTTGGAATTAAACTATGACTGTGCACATGATTTTCTCTTGCATTTTCTTATTTAGCTTAATTTACAGTAAATTAAACTTAGGGGAGCATTTAAAATGTTTCATATTGTCCCTAGTGAAACAAATGCATGTAAGAAGAGGTATTTCTTTCTTTTCTTTTTTTTTTTTTTTGAGACAGAATCTGTCGCCCAGGCTGGAGTGCAGTGGCAGGATCTTGGCTCACTGCAGCCTTCGCCTCCTGGGTTCAAGTGATTCTCCTTCCTCAGCCCCCCAAGTAGCTGGGATTATAGGCGTGCACTACCATGCCTGGCTAATTTTCATATTTTTGGTAGAGACGGGGTTTTGCCATGTTGGCGAGGCTGGTCTTCAACTCCTGACCTCAGGTGATCTGCCTGCTTCATCCTCCCGAAGTGCTACAATTACAGGTGTGAGCCACAGTGCTCACACAGGAGTTATTTCTAAATCAATCTAGGATACAGTTGATTATTCCCTATGGACAAGTTAGAAATGTCATGGGCTGTTAGAGCTTATCTGTTACCTTCCACTCCCTTTGTAGATGGCAAACACATCTATTACTTTTACTAGAAGGACAGTGAGAAATGACTCCTTAACTGGCCGAAAAAAACTAGTACCACCATTTTTGTTGGCAGTGCAGTAAAAGGAGGGAAACCAATATCTCAGTCAAGAAGTTTGTCTCTTTCCCAACAGCTGCATTAATAGACTAGACTCAGTTCTTGTTTGGGCCCTTCATCTTTCCTCACTTTCAAAATATCCTAGATATCCTAGTCTTAGAGACTATGTAGGGATTATGCACAATTTAGAGATGTCATGGTTTCTTTCTATCAGAAATGACTGCTTAATTTAAGTATGTGAACTTCTTTAAGGTTCTAAGTAAATTCAGGAGGTAAGTGCATCACTGAAGAAATTTCTCCCCGTCTCTACTAAAAATACAAAAAATTAGCTGGGCACGGTGGTGCGTGCCTGTAATCCCAGCTACTCGGGAGGCTGAGGCAGGAGAATTGCCTGAACCCAGGAGGCGGAGGTTGCGGTGAGCCGAGATCGCGCCATGGCACTCCAGCCTGGGTAACGAGCGAAACTCCGTCTCAAAAAAAAAAAAAAAAAAGAAGAAAAGAAATTTCTGCAAGTTTAAAAAAAGATCAGGCAAGTATTTTTCAATAACCTGCATTTCTATCAAAACGTTGTATTTAATGGGGAATGTTTTATTTATATTATATAAAATGTATAAACATATTATTCACTGCTGCTTGTTTGACCTAGTGTAAAAATTTCTGTTGTGTGTTTTAAAAAGCATGGTAGGATTTGTAAACTCTGGACAATTTGCCTCTGTCTGTCTTTAGTAGGCATTGTTGTATGAATCAGGGCATTTAATTTCTAGTTTTCTGTCTATCTCCAGTTCACTCTATGACTTTGAAGAAATTGTCTAACCTATTTCTATTAAACAACTCAATAGTATTTGCCCTCGACTTACCTCACAAGTCTGTTAT